TGGATTCCCCATCCCTGGAGGTGTTTATGATGCAGGAGATCTTTTCCAACCCAGCTGATTCTATGATATGATTCTTCCTGACTTTGCATTGCTCCTGTTCTTTCTGAAATAGTCTATTTCCTCACAGTAGAGAAGCCAAGGTGATTCCTCCTGATCCCATTCAGAGCTGTCCTGCTAGCCAGACAAACCTGTTGTTTAACAGAGAGCCAAGAAGTGTGACCCCCTGCCACCCAAGCGTTGCTCCCAGGAGTGCATTTTTAAGCTTACAAGTCCCAGTACTTTTAAAATCAAGAATATTTTGACATATGACCTTTCCTACAAGAATGATTCAAAATGAAATAGCTGTAAATCCCTTCTGTGTAATAACCCCCCAAGTTTTAGTTGCCATGTTTCTGCAGTGGGGATATATAAAACACTTAGGAGGAAAGCAAAAGCATGTTCTTGGCTCTACTGGGTGGAAAACTCATTCCAAAGAACACATGGAATCCTCTTCTTCAAAGACAGAAACACTGAAGTATTTTGGCCCATCTCCACCTGCAATATTCCAGCTGCTTGCTGTCACTTGAGTGACACAAACCACTCATTAAGGCAAGTTTATTGCTCCTCTGGGCACTGCAGGAACAAGGGAGTCCATGTCAATGGGGGAATTGGGTCCATATTTTTAAGGCTGGAATAACCAAAGGATTTTTCCCTGATAAAAGAGCATAGAATCATTCACTAGCAAAGCAGAGAATTCTGATCTGATGACATTGAATAGCTATTTCTATTTATTTACTTTTACAGTTTCTTTCCCACAGATGTGGTTATTGGCAGTGGGCAATGCAACATACAGGGCCAGAACTCTGCTGGTGTTCCATGAGTTCTGCTGCAGCTATGGAACTGAGAGATTTCAATTTCTGCAGCAAAAAGCACCCACAAATGCAGCACAGGTAATCTGCATATGCCAATGTGTTTGGATGTGCAGACAGATACAGAGAAGGCTCATTTTTAGTACCATGGATGTGAAAGGTTAGAGGTTGAGGTTTGAAAACTGAGTGCTTATTTTCAATGATTTCGAAGATAATTTAGTGATAATGCATTTTCCTCAGTGCCTCACCGTGTGTGGTCCTTTCCTGAACAGCTATACTCTAATTTTTCAAATAATAATAGACCTAAATTGGTAACACTGTTGAGTTAGAATTGAAGCAAATATTTCTTTTCAGAGAATAGTATTAGGCTATAGTCATTATAAACACATATTTTCAAGACAAGTTTAAACTGAAACACAACATGTCAAGCAAAGTGAAATATTTTGATTTGAAAAACCCCTCACAGATCAGGAAATCTGGACAGACTCCACTGTGAGGAAATAACTTCCCAGAGAATAACTCCAGGGTAAACACTTCCCATGACAATACTATTTTTGGCTAATTGCATTATCGAGTAGGAAAAGAAGTCCTATACATTTGTCCTGTTTAGTATGTAAACGTGTGGAGACCTCAGACTAGATGATCTGTAAGGTCCATTCCAACCCCTCAATTCTATCATTCTAAATTGCAGCAGCCATGAATGAGAACAACTGTGTTTATTCTGTATGGAACAGCCTGAAGCATCAGATTCCTGGGATGCTGACAGTGTATTTCAGTGAGAGAGGACAACACTTGTTTCCAATCTAGACTGTTCTAGGAAGATGACCCAGCTGACAGGGAGGTAACAAACAACACCAAACCTGTGCAGAAGGAGGGACAGAAGTCTCTAAATCACACTGTGAAACCCATCAAGATGCAGCTTTTCTTGGCAGGTTTAAGCATGGAATCATGCAGAGCAATGTGTCAGTAAAAGGGGAAGTTTAGGTTCACTCTGAAATGCTAATTAGAGAAGGTTTGATTTTCTGAAACTGTCAGAAGGAAGGGAGGGAAGGTGGTGGAGAGACTGATGGAAAAGGTCTTAACTTCTTGACTCTGTTTTAGACTTGTGACACTGAAGGCCACAATTTTAATCCTGTTCTGAGTCCACAACAAAACCAAAGACAGAACAGAACTACACCCACTAAATGCCTTAGATGCATAAAGCCAAGTGTGTGCTAAGCATTCTGCTGAAAAGTAACACATCCATGTTAAATTAGCATTTGAAAGAAGACAGAAAATTATGAATTATTGTACTTACCATGAACATTTAGGTTAAAATACTTCTTGGCACTTCCAACTGTGTTTTCTGCAATGCAGACATACCTGCCAGTGTCTGTTATTTGGGAATTCAGTATCTAAGGGGAAAAAAAAAAAGAGAGAAAATAGTTGTGGAGCTGTCAAAGAATCAAGTGGATCTGTAATTGTTTTACTAGTTTCATCCAATTTCCATCATGGATGAGGAGTTCCTCAGAATCCACTCTTTTCTCCACACACCATTTCAAACCAAGTGATTTCCCAGATGTGGCTCACAGCATCACCCCACAAACAGCTGAGTCTTAGGGAACCACACAGGGGTGAGAAGCAGCAGCTAAGGGACAGGAACAAGGGACAAAACCTCAGGTTTGCAGCACCTTGCAGGAAGGACAAGAGAAAACTACATGCTTAGCAAAAACTAAACTGTTTTTACAGGCAGTTCGAGTTTGGGATGCTAAAAATCAGTTTGTCACTGCAAACTACCTGTAACCTCCTTCCGTTCGACAAAAAGGTGTGTTTGTCATCTTCTGCCAGGAGCTGTCCATCCTTGTGCCAGGTGATGCCAGGGGAAGGGTTCCCACTTGCCACACAGTCCATGGCTGAGACCTGTCCCAGCAGCACGGTCACCTCCTCGGGCAGGTCGCGCTCGGCGCCGCTGATGGACGGCGGCACTGCAGGGAGGGACACGGTCACTCAGCTCCTCTCAGGGGTCCTGTCTAAATTAGGTTGGGTCTACAGAATAAAGTAGTGAAATCTTCATTGAATCCCATGAAAAATACTAAAATCCTCTGCTCTGGTGAGACTCCACCTGGAGTGCTGCACACAGCTCTGGGGTCCTCAATGTGAGAAGGACATGGAACTGTTGGAGCAAGTGCAAAGGAGGCCACGAAGTTGCTGATAGCATTGGAGCATCTCCCTGTGAGCACAGGCTGAGGGAGTTGGGGCTGTTCAGCTGGAGAAGAGAAGGTTGTGTGGAGACCTCAGAGCACCTGCAGGAGCTGAAGGAGCTGTGGGCTGTGCCCCCTGCCCTGGGCAGGGACACCTCCCAGCAGAGCAGGTTGCTCAAGGCTCATCCAACCTGGCTGTGAACACTGCCAGGGTTGGGGCAGCCACAGCCTCCCTGGGCACCCTGGGACAGGGTCTCACCACCACAACAGGGAAAAACCTTTTCCTAATATCTAGCTTAAATTCCTCCTCTTTCAATGTGTATCCTTGCCCTGTCACTGCAGTTCCTAAGACAGGTGCCCAAACAGCTCTGGGGGAAGAACCTTGTCCTGCTATCCAACCCAACCCTTCACTGACACAACTTCAGGCCATTCCCTCAGGTCCTGACCCTGTCCCAGGGAGCAGAGGTCAGATCTGTCCCTGCACTGCCCCTCAGGAGGGAGTTGTATGGAGCCATGAGGTCTCCCCTGGGCTGAACAGACCAATTACCCTCAGCTGCTGCTCACGTGGCTTCCCCTCAAGGCTCATCACCATCTTTGTTGCCTCCTTTGGACACTCTGCAATAACTAACATCTTCCTTACACTGTGGTGCCCCAAACAGCACACAATACTGCACATACCAAAGTGCACGTAGACCTCTCCTCCCAAACCCTAGCACCCATTTCAAAGCTTACAAATATGCAGAATTTGCAGCCATTAAGGAAACCTGGACTATAACATTCCATCAGTTTGCACAGAAGCCTTTTTTTTGTCACAGAAAGGAGCAAGGGAAGCAGAAGGCTCACAGAGCACGCAGACATGGTACTGGATGGAATCCTGCCCAGCCTCATTGACTGCCACACACGTGTACGTCCCGGCGTCCTCCGCCTGCGCCCGGGCGATCTGCAGCACTCTGCCTCCTGCAACACAGCACAGCCAGCATGGCAGGGCAGCACCACACACTCCCCATCCTCTCACACCACGTGGCACCAGAGACCTGAGCAAGCAAATTTATCAATGGTCAGCATTTGGTCTGAATTAAAGGGAACGAAAGGCTTTTATTCCCAAGCTGCTTTTTCTGTACCGGCAGATACTTGGAATTCAGCCATGTTCATAGTGAAATGTAGAAAAGAGTCATTAATTCCACATAAAGGAACACCATTGTGCAGCAAGATGCAGCCAAGGCATTATTCTCCCATCCAGAACTGAAATATCCCTCAGTGAGATGGCAGAGAACTAACAGGCAGAAGGCAACATAAACACAGAGTATTTTGTTCCAACACAAAAATATTTATTTCTGAAGCTTAGAGGTGCTTCTCACTCTCTCCAAATGAAAGCAAAGCCACATAAGTAGCTTCAGGAAGAGAAGACATCCTAGGAATACATTTTTGGAGAGGTTTATTATTGCTCTCCCAACAGATGAGCAAGACAGACAAGAAGGCATCACCCTTCCCACTGCCCTTCATACCCACCAGCCCAAAACATGCCTGCACAGCACGGCCCCCGTGACCACCACAGGAGGTTAGGTAGGAACTCATGGGCATTTTTCTGCTGGAAACAGACTCACTCCTTGGTCAAGAACCTTTTCTACTCCAATTATCATTAAGTCAAAGTGAATTTAATAACGAAATACATCAGAGAGAAGGTATCATCATCATTGTACTGTATTTTTCAACACATGGAAGTGTTCCAGGACAAATTGGATGAGGCTTGGAGCAACCTGGTCTAGTGGAAGGTAGCCCTGCCCAGGGCAGGGGAGCTGCTGGAAGCAGATAGTCTTTAAGGTTCCTTCCAACCCAAACTACTCTGTGATTTGGTGATTCTACATCAAATGGTCCATTCACTACATTTTAGGGACTACTTCTTAAATGAAACAGCTGATGGCCAAGGACTGGAGACCAACATTTCCAGCCAACAAAGTCTGGAAGGAACATTAAAGCAGCATCCTGAGAGGGAAAACTGTGCTACTACTGTATAAATAGCAGCACTAACACCACAGCTTAAGGTCAGAGTGGTCACTCACCTGGCAGGATGAGCACCCTGTCACTGGAGCTCAGGGGATAACCATCCTTGTACCACGTAAGCACAGGAGGAGGAACAGCATTGGTCTCACAGTACAGGGACAGGGGATTGTTGACAATCACATCTTTACTTTCTCCACCTCTTCCTGCATCCACTGTGTTCCCAGCTTCCCAATCTCTGTAAGGCTTTTGGAAACTGGGAGGAACTACAACAAAGGAGAGGGAAAACGTTAGCATTCTGTAGCAGGAATAGCTAGTTCTAAAGTCAAGAAGTGAAAAGATACTGCAATGCTAAATAGCAGCAATAAAAATTGTGTTAAAAATTAGCCTCTCCCCCCCAGTTGAGAATCCCCAGGAAAATTCTAGTTCTTTCCATCAGAATGAACAGTTGAGCAATCTACTGGGTATTTTCTGAAGGTTAATAAATAACAGCGTAACAAGAGCTGATGACAAGCACAGAGGGTGTTCAGCAACAACAACCCTTAAATAATAAGGTATCTGGTTTCACTTCACTTCTCATTTTGTCTAAGTTTTCAGAAACTACTCAGGATTGTTTCCTTGTATTTATACACAGTGTGTAGGCCAAGGGATGTGATGCCTGGAGACTCTACCTACTGCTCAATACAGAGAAATAAAACATCATGTCTGAGTTAAATAAAAACCTTTGCATGTAATCTGGAGGGAGATCAGAGCTGCTGTGCTATTCCACTGACTTCACAAACACTGCATGTCACAACATATGAAAGAAAAACCAAACACTTAAAAGATGAGCAAAAGACACATCAACTAAAAATCACACAACACAAAAGCATTGGATTAGACAAAAAAGGTGTAAAAGATGTAAACCTATAAATTCCAGCATCCCAGAATATTAGAAAAGGAGCCTAGCAGAAGAATTTTATGGGTTTTTTTACCTTGTATATTTACATCAAACTCCAGCTCATCCTCTCCAGCAATGTTGGATGCCAAACAAGTGTAACGACCAGTGTCTGACACTTGAGCCTCCTTAATGTGCAGAGCACGGCCACCAGCTTGGATCAGGACATGATTGTCTGCTTTAAATGGCTGTAACACAATTTTATATGAAAATTAATATCAGCAGAACTCATTCTAGAAATAGCCACATTTATGGAAGCAATACAAGTGAACCTGATCAGGCTCCAAGTTCCTGGAGGCAATACTCTTTTTTTCATGGTTCTCAGAAGCTCCTGAGCATGGTGGCTGGTCTCCTCCAGGATGTCATCTCCCACCACTCCCAGCCCCAGCTGCAGGATGCTGCTGAGAGGAGCAAGGCCATCCCCATCAGTCAAGGGCTCTAGTGACATTGGAATCAATCTCAGCATCATAGGATGTTGAGGGGTTGGAATGGACCTTACAGAGCATCCAGCCCCAACCCCTGCCCTGGGCAGGGACAGCTCCCACCAGAGCAGGTTCCAACACATGGAAAACCACCAGTTTTCTGTGAGGTGAACAACTGGATCTAACTCAACCCTACAGCCACACACCCACTGGACCTGCTGCCTAGCAAGGACACGGTGTGAGTATGAAATGGACACAGCAGCAACGCAGAGAGACACAGGAGTAGATGTCACCGTCCCAGAGTGTACATCCATGTGAGAGCAGAGACTACACTAACACAACCTGTGTCTCAGTAGTGAAAATGGAACACATCAGGTGTGTTATCTAGATCAGCAGCCTAGTGGAAGATGTCCCTGCTGGCAGAGGGGTGGAACTGGATGGTCTTTCAGATCCCTTCCAACCCAAACCACCCTGTGATTCCATGGTTCTGTGACTGGGGAGTCAGCACTGAACTCCCACCCTGCAGGGGACAATGAACTCAGGCCATGGATGTGAGTGAAAGTCACTTGCTTAGGGCAGCCCAAGGAGCAGCAGCTGCTGAGCCAGCTGTGTACAGCCACTCTGTCTGGGGACCTCTCCACTCCCCCCACACCCTTTTTCTTTGGCAATACAATCAGCACTCCCAGGAGATCCCAGAATTACAGCATCTGCTGAAAACAGCCAGAGGGTGTATACACAGTCTCCCTGTCACTCCAGGCTGTGGACACATGCTGGTCCATGAGTGTCCTACCCAGAAGAGCTAAAGCAGGAGATTCCACTCTCCTCTCTGACAGAGGAGTTGCACCATTTCGTTTTGATTTATTATGGATTTCAGCAGGCCCTTGCCAGTGCTGCTGTGTGGCAGGAATCACACTTCACCCCCCACATGGAGCAGATGCTCCTGTGGCTTTGTGAGCTCTGCCAGGGCCAAGTGGGAGGCTCTCTGCAACTTCTGCAAGGGCAGCACTTGAGGGAGCCATCTGTAACAAGGTCTTTGAGGATTTTACACGACAGCCAAAGGACTTGTGGTCACACCACAGGATGCTCCTGCCAGGCAGGGCCCTCCCCCTTCAAAGCACAGGCCACTGGCAAGTTCTGGAACCTCCAGCACTGGTGTGTCAGGGGTACTGACAGCACTCACAGAAAAGGGGGCTGATGTGCAGAGGTTTGGCAAACACCTCATGGTGTGTGAGGGGGGATGCTGACAGCAGGAGGGTGGAAGGTGACCCTTGCCAGCAGTGCCAGTCAGCCTGCTACCCTACAGTGACAGGAACACACAGCTGTGTCTGCACAACCACCCCACGGGGGAAGGAATTAAGGTTGTCACTGGCCTGTCCATCCTTGAACCAGCTGATGGCAGCAGCCGGAATGGCATGAGCTTCACACTCACGGGTCAGTTTGATCTTCACTTCCTTAGGGGAGAGACCAGTCCCTGAGACATCCCCTCTGGCAATGGTGGGGGGAACTGCAAGGTAACAAAGCCAGGGGTTGGGGGGAAAGAAGAAGGAGCAATTACTGTCTGGTGCAGCATCTCAAAATTCCATTTGTGGTATATTTTTTATATATAAAAATACATAAAACTGTGTTCAACACTCTTAAACAAACCTGACTACAGTCTGACCTAGCTAACACACTCCATTATCACTTGCCTGCCTTGAATTCTATAAAGTTCAGGGTATTGTAGTAATTAAATGGAAATTAATGGAAACTAAGGTTCCCAGGAACATGACTGAACTGAAGTCCACACTCAGAGTAGCTGGTCAAAACTCAACATTTCCACTCCACTGAAATCCCAGTATTGCAAAATCTTGTTTCCTTTTCCACCAGAAGGAAAACAGAACATTTCAAAACTCTTCAGCTAACCCCCAAGGTTGGTCCCATAATGTATTTTAAATGCTTTCAAAGCATTTTCCACTCTTTTTCTTCAATGGGAAACTTTAAATTCTCCCTAATGCTTTCAGTCCCCTAATAACTGACAGCTGCAATGGCACTTGTGGGTGGGAGGCTTTAGGCTGCTACACAGCCATGCTTCAATAATGAACTCTTTTGTCATCTTCTCATTATTCCAAATCCAACTGGGCCTTGTTAGGGACTTGGGGTAATTAAAATAACTGTATGGTTACTGTAAGGGAGCAAATCAACTCCAATTCATAGGACAGAAAAAAAAAAAGGTTCAGAATCCTGCTTGACTGAACCCATAATGAAGAGTTTGACCATTAAACCTGAGTGTGAGGCACAGATGCTCAAAGACAATGTGCTGACAGGAAGCTTGGAATGGGAAAGCTTTAGTGCAGATGGAATTTTATGGAATGACAGAAATAGTATCCTGCTCTTTCACCTTACTCAAGAAAATTTCCCACTAGGGGAAACAAGTCCCTTCCCTCCTGTGTTTCTAAAAGAGTTCCTGTACTCAGGAGATTCTGTTCACATCTCCCATTGAGCTGCACTGGGATTTGAAAACCAGTACCAAAAGAGCATTTCAGAAGAAACTGAAGTCCAATATTCTTAAACATTCCTCCCCTGGGTACTACAAAGATTTTTAGCCCAACAGCAGCACTGCAAAGGATGCAGCACCAAACTTCTCTAGTGTGTCTCCTCCAGCAATGCCACGAGCTAATGCTGATGTTTGCTAAATAATAACAGAAACCCCTGTATTCACCAGGACAGGTAACACTGCAATGGGAGGAAATGGAAGAACAGGAAAAACAAAAAAGAATTAAAAAAAAAAAAAGGAAGCATTTCCATACTGTAGACTTTCACTTCATAGTGCTTCAAAGTTTCTCCAGCCTCATTTGTGGCTATACAGGTGTATCTGCCAGCATTGTCCTCCTGGGCATTCAGGATCTGCAGAGTTCTCCCACCTGCCAAGAGACAGAAATCTACAATAGCATCTACAGAATCCCAGAATCAGGTTGGAAGGGATCACAGTGGCTCATCTGGTCATCCCAGAGCTCATGGCTCAGGTTGTGTCCAGGTGGTTCTTGAGGATTCTCCAGTGAGGGATCCACAACCTCTCTGGGCAATCTGCTCAGTGCTCAGGGACTGCACAGGAAACTTCAGTGTTCAGATGAAACTTCCTGGGTGTGAGTTTTTGCTGTTCCCTCTTGTTTGATTGGTTTCCCCACTGAGCAGAGTCTGATCATCCTCTTGGCACCTCCTGTTCATGAACCTGAACACATTACTGAGGTCCCTCTCTCAGTTGTCTCTTCTCAAGGCTGAACAGCCCCAACTCCCTCAGCATTTCCTCATCACCCTTTTGTCCAAATTCTGTGCTTAGATGAGCAGGAAAACCTGACTGCTTACACAGTGGATACTGTAATTTGTGGGAGTGTTGTGGATCTCAACTCCTGTTCCTTACAGATTCTTGGACAATGTGTCAACATAGTTCTGTACAAGAAATTTCTCGAAGATATTTAGATGGGGCTCATTCTTTCTCTGAACACTTGCAGTTAACAAGGCTAAAGCACTTGTTTATCTGTATTACTCCAGTGTTACCACTGAAGCTTGTTCCAGTTTTCCACCTCATCTCACCCCTGCCCTGGGCAGGGACACCTCCCCCCAGCCCAGGCTGCTCCAACCCCATCCAACCTGGCCTGGAACACTCCCAGGGATGGAGCAGCCACAGCTGCTCTGGGCACCCTGTGCCAGTGGATTGCATTTAACAGAAATATATCCAAAACCTCTAACACAAAACTAAACAACACAAGAACATGCTATGCTATTTCTCAATAACCACGAAACATTTACCTGGCAAAATGCGAATGTTTCTGTTTGATTCCAAGGGATTCCCATCCTTCAGCCAGGTGATGGTAGCTGGAGGGTATGAGTAAGCCTCACAGACCAGTGAGGTTGGGCTGTTGAGGATAACAGTGACATCTTCTGCATTCCCATGGCTGTCTGCACCCACGATGCTTGGAGCCACTAGGAACAACAAAATCATTTACCACAGGAAGGACCTCTCTCTGAAAAGCCAATTTTCTGGTCCCTGTTCAGCCCAGAAATCTGGCTGCAGCCTTAACTAGCTGGGAGGCATTCCTAAAAGGAGCCCCAAAACCCAAACCAGACAATATTCAGCTGGCTTTATGCTTTGTCCTGAAGTCATCCCAAATCAGTGGAGTCCCCATGCCTTTGTCAAACACAGGCCACCAGGAATCCACTCCTTGTGCAGCAGCTGGCAGAGCTGCTGCTGCATGATCCTGGAAGGAGGGATGAGCCTAGGAAACAAGGCTGTGGAAAACAAACTCGCCATTGTTTGCACTTGGTTATGCAATAACCCTCATGGAAAAAAAAAAACAAAGTGAGAACTGCAGATGGTTTCAGCTTTTCGGAAGAGATCACAATCTGAAATGCTCTTCAGATGCTCCTTTCTTGAATCACAATAAGCCAATGAGCTGTCCTGCCCATTCCATATGGACAATGTCCTGTTCTGGTTCTGCATTTTCCAGCTCTGTGTTGTCTAAAGCACAGCAGTGCTGCCTCTATTGAAGCACCACCAGTTACTCAGTGTGCTGCTTTGGGCTGGGGCAGTGTTAATTCTCTTCCCAGTGGCTAGTGTGGGGCTATGTCTTCGATGTGTGCAGGGCACAGGGTGATAATGCAGAGCTGTGTTTGCTGTTGCTGAGCAGAGCTCACCCAGAGCCAAGGCCTTTGCTGCTTCCCACACTGCCACATGGCAAGGGAGTTGGGGGTGATGGAGACTGGGAGGAGACACAGCTGGGACAGGTGACCAACCTGACCAAGGGATATTCCACACCATGGGAATCATGCTCAGTGTGTGGAGTGGGGG